AAACGATCTGACCAGAGATCAGTTGTTCGAATTCGTAAGCGGAAAATTATCATCAGCAATGGTTCATACACACAGAAAGTGACCGAAAAGATGCACAGGACACATTTCGTAATATTTCAACTGGCCTTCTATTAAAATTTTATTCCCCAGCGACAGAGCGAACTAAATGCAAACAGTGGACATTTAACATAGCTGCACCTCAATAAAAGCCCGAAAGTGAAGTCGTTACCAACATAAGCTTTCATATACGATCCTTCTTTATGCTTACTAACCCTCCAGTGACATTGGCTGCCGATCAGAGATCTCTAGTCAACTCTATACTAGACCCTACTTTCCATTTACTACCAATTACTACGCATGATCATGATATCTGCTTTATATTCCTGGAACCACGTACCCTTTGTTCTGACTCTTTTCCTTTTACCTTCAAAATTCGAAGTTAGGGTTTGACTGGTGATGCAGTTTAATGGTTTCTGTAGTGTGTCTCACCCATCTCAAGCGCCTTTTCTTAATATCTGCCTCGATCGGCAGCTGGTCTGTTCTCTGCCACAGATTGTTACTGATGGTCTCTGTTCAATGGATCTGGAGTATCATACATATTGAGTGACAGTTGTTTTGAGTCACAGATATTCTTCAATTGTAAGAAAGCTCCCTTGTTTTGCCAAACTGTGCATTGGCATCTGTATCAAATCTTTCTTATTCATCAATGATGGTAACCACGTACGTGAAGGTTTCCATCTCATCCAAAGCTTTTCCATAGAGTATGATTTAATTGGTGCTTCAGGATTTCTCTTTTTCCCCTGTAACGCCTATTCTTGCCGAAGCCGATGACTCAATGGATTCCTCCATCTGTATATTTTGCTGTGTATGCGATAGAACCTCTATGTAATCTGTAAAGTCTTTTTCTTAATCCGTGAAGGTCTTCACGATCCAGTCAGTAACTTAAGGAAAGAGAAAAGGTGGGGATATGCATCCTTCTTCGACATCAGTTTTCACTCAGAATACACCTATCTGTAAGCTCTCTTCCATGCACGGCTTTATAATTCAGTCCTCAGTAGGAGTTCCAAATGATGGTGACCATCTTTTCGGGCACTACATAGAACAAAAGAGGATTTCATGGGATTTGACCATTCAGGCTGTCGAATAACCTTTTAAGAATCAAGAAAGTTGACGTAAAGTCCAATTCAATTTGTTACTCATCAATGATTCACAGTATCGCAATTCGGTCGATAAAGAATAATCCTTAGCAAACCCAGCTTCCCGGCGTCGAATTTGGCTATCTACTGAATCTTTTATTCGCTTCAGAAACACTTGAAAACTTCCCCCCTGTAACGAGAGTGGCGTGCTTCTGTAGTTCTGACACTGATTAATACTTTCTTTGGTATCTCAATGAAGTACACCCAATTAACACTATGTGGTCGCGGTCGTCCTAGTATACAAAAGAAGAAACCTTGAGTAAATATAAATTATCTTAACCAATATCCTTTATATGTTCTTCTGAACAATAATTCATCGTCTAACTGAAACAAATAAGCTGTGATTTCAAGACAGTCTGGTAGGTTTCTTCTCTGATTGACAATGTATCGACCAGATACTCTACCAATCATTGCAAAACAAACAAAAATTATTGATGATGATATGTTACTCAATCAAATAATAGGTATTATCAAGAGAAATAGATGAGTGAGAATATCCTAAAACCATTCGAATCTGGTGTTCTGTATCAAACACCGCTGTATTATATAACCTCCAAAAGTAAAATATAAGCTGAGGTTATATATATTTGAGGATTAATCCCTTTGAAGATTGCTAGACGAATTTTGGGTTTATAAAGTGTGTAATCTTGGTATTAGTTGAGGAGTATTGTGTAGGTAATGAATCCTAGTCGACTACACTAAATGTTGAGTCAATAGTGTTGAAAATAAACTAGATACAGAAGCCTCGCGATGATCAGAACAACAGTGGTAAAACTTCGTTACCAGGTACACGTCTATGTTCATATATGGGAGGTAATGACACTACACAGCAGAAACAGTACAACTTATCAATTATTACCAACGGTTAGACTTAAATTCAACTGCCTGAACGTACCATTACAATAACTAGACAATAATCATTCAAATACCACATTATTTGATATATGCAAAGAACCAAACACTTAAACCTGGTACTGAAACATAAATTATAATAAATTCGTGTCTGTGTGCGTTATATTAAAAGAAAGAACCATGACAAACATTTGTGTATGAAAGAAAACGATTTGACAAAGGTTTTAATGATGAAAGCAGTTATGATATCAAATTTCATATTCGTATAGTTTCGAAAAATTAACAACTGGTAAATAAAAGCAGCTTGTAAAATGGCACAATCTAGAAAGACGTTTATGAAACATAATATTACGACTTTGCTTACGTAGACAGTCGTATGCAGTTACAACTTGACAAATCCTTTTACATTCGTGGGCAAAGTTTTGTAGTACAGTAAGCAATAAATATTTTATTATATCACTATTCAATATTCACATTTGTGAGTAAATATTTATTTAGCAGTCACAAATTCAGGTCAAATATATTCATTGTGATTTGTAAGGATTAAGTACACGAAATTAGTAAAGAATAAAACGGACAAGTTGAACAACGTGGTATGCACACATAGAAATATGGTTAAATTTTATCTTGGGTGGTAACAATTGTTTCGATGACACTTCCCTGATAAATGGAGTGAACATAAAAATAATTCTAGAAACTAGAATGAAAATGTAATGTATTCTTCGTAAAATAACGTGGAAAAAGTTTTCAGATGGCTACAAATAAGAATGATGTATAGCTAAACAGAATATCAGCTTTTAAAGAACTGGATTTGAGAGGGTCGCTTTCAAAGTTGAATAAACCCACCAATATAAATCCTAGTATAAAATTATTCATTAATTTCCGACTAGTTAGTAATTGATAATGGCTATGATTCAAAGTGAATTGTGATAGTTTAAATCCAAATAGATTAGTGTGTTCCACATGTTCTTTGTTTTCTTTGTAATACCTACTTAGTAAACAGCGCTTTTCTTTACTTTATGATTACAGCATACAATATATTAGTCACAAAGGAATTGGAAGTACTGCGGAATGCAACCGCAATATGAGGTCAAGGTGTGGAACACCTCGATTTATGATTTTTGACAAAAAATGAACTATGAGCGAACTGCATAATTCAACAATGGTATGAGACAGCTGTGATTGTATAATCAGTCCATCATAATTAATGTACAGCCTATCACAAATCTGTGTCATTCAAAGTATCTATACCCCTACAATACGAGACGAAAGTAACAAGATGAATAACTGAGTTGGAACAATAATAGTAGTAATGATAATGAGGGAAACTAAAGCACCACGATAGGGTTTGAGACAGAATGAAAATATATGTATGGAGGAATATTACGACTCAAGGTTTAGAAGATAAAGAGTAAATACACTTTTGTCATTGTGACCAATTCTAAGCCATGTTACACATCTCCAGTGGTTGTGATAACCGCGTAGACTCTAGTCAGGTAGTCTGCATCTACCGGCACGACTCAGACCAACAGTCAACGATTTCATGGACTGATGCCAGATTTTGGCTTGGTCACCCTTAGCTTTATTTCAACCTAGTCCTACATCAATTAATACTCTACATCGAGGTAAGAGGGGAATAAGCATGTGTAACATACGTCCCAACCACCTAAATTCATGAACATTCACAACGTTATCAATCAATTCGACATCTTTCTTTAGTACCAGACGTTGAAAGTCAACATTGTTCATCCGATCGTTCCACAAGCTAATAATGCTTTGAAGACATCGCAGCCTAAGCATATATTTCACTTTCATGGACCTTTTTTAAAGCCACAAAATACTAAAAAGTGAACTATCATGAAGTTCATTAGCTGAGATTTGTATACGGAAGTGGTGAGTGAAACTACAAAACGTTGTGAGTTGAGAAAGAATCCAAAGTAATGACCTCCAGGTAGTCAACTAAGCACTTTGTCATCTACGATATGAAACCCGTATCAAAAGAAGGTTCCGATTTCGCCACAACCACTGAGTGGTTTTAACTAACTCAAGTACAGTGACCGTCCCCGTGAACAAAACTAAATTTGTCTATCAAGACTAGGTAGAAATCAATCAGTTTCTATTCCTGTCTTCCTCAAGTGTGGTTTAATTGGGTGTAGAAGTGTGTGTTGAAGCGAAGATCTGGTGACCAGATGCGTTTCACAAGCTAACATATATCAAAAATTTTAAAAAATACCACTATCTGCACAACATTTTTTGCTTAGTTTTTTAGACAACACCATCTTATATATTATGTACGTTCAAAATAGTCGCTGCCACGAAAACCACGCAGACAAAAAAATAATTTACATCATAAAAGGTATAATCATCTATAGAAACATGAAAAATTTAATAAGAGATTCAGGAATGGTTGATATGCCCACGTACATATGCCTTTGTGCACTGATAGTAAAAATAAAAGGAATACACGTAAAATTAAAAATTAAGACAATTTTAGGTAGAAAAGTATTGTCTCATAAATACATACAGTCGAAGGTTAACTAACTGCAGTTATTGAGTTCACTAATAAGGAGACTGAACATTTAATACAAATAACGATAATACACGAAGTAACAAAAAAAGATAAACTGTAAATTGTGCAAATATTTAAGACAAGAAATTTTCATGTGAATGAATGGTGTAGTGTGTTATTTAGCAGTTTAACAAATTATGCGTATCAGTGAGGTATTTTAATTAAGTAGTATTGTAAATTGAATGAAGCCACGTGTCATCGAGTTTGAAGCAATTGTGTGTGAGCACGAATAATGAGTCCCAAATCGCGACGAAATAACTGTCGTTCCTCCTTCGTTTATGATAAGTTTTTACCTTATTTTATTTTGTAGTGAACACTACTTTTAAATTCCATAAGCCTTACCACAAAACACTTCAGTAATAACTAATGTGACTTTAACTTACTTGCATCCGAAAAGTGACAGCACCCATAATCTCCGGCCGACATTCATCGGACGATGGAATATGACTGACCAGTTGCTGAAATCAAACAGTATAAATGCAATTATACGCCTAAAGTTGATTTTTAAGAAATTTTACAAAGAAAAGTTGGGTAAATATCTATAGTCAATCGCAAACTTTATATATATATAAACAATCGAGCTGATTGAATAACTAATCAGTTGTACTTTAATTGAAAGAAAAATAACGGGAGAGAAAAGACAGGAATGATACAATACCCGAATTCCATATGTTCACGGCAGTTTGCCAAATTAATTTTAAGTCGTAAAACTCAGGCTTCAAGATCGACCAAAAGAAAATCATTAACCTAACCAACCACATATATTGTTCATCATATGCTTTAAACAGATACAAAAATTTGTGCAAAGCAAAGTTACACAAAGACAAACACGAAAAAATTTGCACCACACAGTAATTGTTTAAGTTGCTGGACCTTGCAAAAAAACAAAGATAAGACTAAATAACGGTAAATAGATGTAGGATAAAATGTTTGGGTGTACGAAAATACGAAAGGAATAGTTTGGTAGGTGATCAAGTTGGTCGGATTGGTACATTACAAACGATATTCACAAATGATATGCAGACAAGCAATCTTCTCATGAGCGTAATCTGTGTACCAAACATCACCGGGCATGAACATGACTAGACTGCCTTGAATATTTGTCGAAAAATTGCAAACCAAATAATGTGTGAGAAATATTTGCAAACATTGTTTACCCTTAACAAATCTCGTATTTACATCAATTAATATAGTATTTACTAGACGAAGTATCACCTGGTTCAATTCATATGATCTACACCGTCAGTGTGAAACGTTGTAAAAAAAACAATGGATCATAAAAATTTGTTAAAGTCAATCTGTAATTTAACAAACGTCGTCACCTAATGGTTTGATATGTGTCGGTCTATTCCAATGTCCATGATGGAGTCTATCTTGTTTTTTTTATCAACTGTCTAACGGCACTTGAGTATAAAATACTCAAGTGCCGTTAGACAGTTGATAAAAAAAAACAATTACAATCTCATATTTTTATTTTAACAATAAAAAGCAGACTACAGAGTTCTGAGTGGATCACTGTAACGCAATCAGTTTTCCCTCGTAAGCTCATAAAATTCGTGTCATTTTAACAGCATGTAATTTCATGAAAATAATATCAAATTTGTTTCAAAATAAAACCTAGATTATATGATTAAAGAAAATTACATTACATGTAACATGACAAGGTAGATATAAGTAGTAATAGACTAGACCTAGTGATACCAAGCAGTAACGGGAAAGACTAATGTGGAGTAAAGATCGAAACTATGATCTAATATCTGTAGAAACATGAATACTTTTAACCATTATACCATAACTAGTAGGGTGATCTGGAAGTAATGAAAAGATAAGCACATAATCCAATTATAATACAGTTACGATTAGTACTTAGTTTCTCCTTCAAATATAAGTTGAAGAATATAACTAACAAAACGAGAAACAAATAAAATAATATTTTACGATTAATTTAATCCCATTGTTATTCATCTTAAACGATTCATTATGTAACTTCCTCCTAATCAAATAACAAGTCTTGTTGGATAGAATAAAAAAAACACTAATCAGATGGAAATTAAGTGAGATTAGTATACAAATGAATAAGACAAAAATCAAGTTAGCGAAGCGACCACTTTTCAGTTTTAAAAAAACTGATGAATTATATGAAGAACCAAATTAACTTGCGCAGCGTTAAAAATATAGGAGTATCTTGATAGTTCAATACATAATAGTCTGATATACAGCTTTAGGTCTTTGTACAAGCTCTTTTGAGATTTTGAAAAAAAAACGTTTTGGGTCTGCAGAATCATGCTGCCCAAAACATTCTGTATTGATATGTAGAAATGATAAACAAATTCGTTTACTAACCTCCAAACCATGCTCAGTATGTGAAGGATAATTACATTACAAGACTAAAAATCTTACATGTTCATAATTCTGGTCCTTTTGGTTAAAAAAGGGGACCATTTCAAACAATTAAGTACAAATTTGTGTTGACAATAATGATGATACCTCACAAGCACTAGAAATTAATTATAACACAATTTCACTATTGTTGATCTAGTGAACATGGTACTCTGTTTTGAAAGTATGTATCCAATCAATACGTCGTTGTGAAAAAGTAATAAGTTATCAATAATTAAGGACCTGTAATGTCTTCAACTGAGCAAATATACTGCTAATGCACACGAACAATAACCTATTCATTTGGAATGTGGTCTACAGTCCTTACTGAAACACTTTTTTATAACAGTTTAAACAATCACTAAATAATTATTCTGCTTTAGATTAGCACGCAATTATTCGAAGTGCGTTATATGAGCAAATTATTTAGTTTAGTGGACTTTGATTCTCTGGACATCATTTCAAACTTAAAGGATTATCTTAATTTTGCTTACGAGATTAAGTAAATATTACTGATTGTATCTCATTGATTTGATATTCGTAAAGAAATAAAGGATGTATCAAACGAGACAAGTAAAAAGAGAGAATAGAAGAAACCAAAGTAACAACGATGATGAGTTTAAAAAAAATCATAGAAATATTGTGCTATGTTTGGAGATTACGAGATCACCCAAAAAGGCTAACGAAAAGAAGAATTACCAACTCTATGTTTACTCAAAAACTCTTGTCTTGCAAAAACTTTCCAAGTATGTGGAAACTCTTTAAAGAACCTACAGGTGGCAGACAGATTAGGAGCGATAACCAGCTGAATGTTTATGACCTAAATAAGTCTTTTGTACGTCAGTCATCTGATGTGATGCTCACTTTAACCACAGGTTTAAAGAATAGCTGTGTTCCTAGTTTCGCTGAAACTGATGTCCGAAGATGTCTCCAGTCACTTAATTCATCCCGATGTTTAGGACCTGATGGTATCCCAAACCTCCTTTTTAAAAAATGTGCTGACGTCCTATGTTATCCATTCACGACTATCCTTAACAGATCCTTCTCATCTAATCTCATACCGAAAATGTGGAGAAAGACGAAGATGATCCCTGTACCCAAGAAAGTATCTGATGATAAGAATGTAAAATTTTTGGACCTATTGCAATAACTTCACCCTTCCTCAAAACAATGTAAAAATTATTAATACTTCCACTTCAGCCTGCAGTAAAAGAGTATATTGATCCGTATCAGTTTACTTCAAGATGCAAAAGAAGCACCCGAGATGCTGTTGCTGTTCTACATCACAATATAGTGTTCAACTTAGGAAAGGGTAGGATGTATGTTCGATTACTCGTCATTTACTCTTACAATTTGTCAATTCTTGCAAATTACCTATTATGCTTTACTGTTCTCCATTATTCTTTCCCGGGCTTTTGAGAAAAGACTTTGCTGTATTGCAGAGAGTGCTGAAGGCAGTTAGCAAGATGTGTGGTGAATCTTTCGAGGTCATAGTTAATATGGTTGTGGATAGACATTTAAAATCATGCAAACTACTGGTAGGTGTTATTTTATCAGATACTAACCATCCCCTTCACTCTTATCTTTCTCCTTGTATATCTTCTGGTAGAACGAGACGTAATTACATTAAAATCCATACGCCCAAGCAAAAGTATAAAAGTTCTGTAATACCTTACCTAGCAAATATACTCTGTGACGAACAGGTTGTTAGAGTTAACCTAGTCAATAACCTGCATCCTTAACATGTCTCTAATTTGAAAAGTTGTAGTTTTTCAGATTGTTTTAAACCATTTTTCCCTTTTTGTCTTTGTTTCTGTATTTTTGTGTAAGAAACTTGTTGAAATAACCTGTGCTGAGAATTCTATATTGTACCAAAATATAATATTGAATAAAGCCATTAATAATAATAATAATAGTGATAATAATAATAATAATAATAATAATAATAACGAAAAGACAAGCTAACTATTCTGATGTGTTTCAGACCTGCTACTAGAGGGAGAAGACCAGGTTGGGATGAGCGAAATGTATATTCCACAGGCAGCTAGAAGCACGAACAAACCAAGCACGCACCTCAAGCATTTATAAACACAGTATATAAAGGTCTTTAGGAAATGTTACAAAATAGTGTATTAAAAGAGGCAACGAACCAATGACATTTATGGTCCTTCCAAGTGGGAAATACACTCTGAAGGTAAAATCAGGTGCTTTTGGCGCGAAAACGAGAAATTCAGATTTTCAAGGTAAAATTACAAAATTAAGACGTTTACCAAGCGATTTCTGAGGATCTAGCATCTAGTATATTGAAACATTGGGTTTATGCTGCTCCCATCGCAAGGTTGGGTTTCTCGTTTTATCCATCAAAACAAACATCTAGAAGCCAAGTTTATCGAATAAGTTATAATTTTCTAGTTACAATCAACTGATTAGAACGGTTAAAATGTTAACAATTACATAGGACTACAGAAAATGGACACGGTGAACAAATAAAACTTGGAAATTAAGAATAATTTCTCAAATATACCTCATGTTGATCTATGAGAATTTGTAAAAAAGCATCTGCCTCTACGATACGACGGTCGAATTCGGAAAGGCTGCAAGGATGTTCCAGTAAACGATTGGTCTGTAAAAATGAACAAATAAAATGCTCTATAATATCAACTATCGAAAAGTAAAGATGAATTGCAAACACGAGAGAATCGAGCTGGCTTCAGACCTGGTCGTGGCTGCATCGATCACATATTCACCATTTGTCAGGTTCTAGAACATAGGGATACTTACCGGCGTCCGACAATCGTGGTCTTTCTCGACTTAAAAGTAGCATTTAATTCCGTAGACTGCGAGATTCTGTGGCAGTGTCTGTCATTGAAAGGCGTACCCCAGAAGTACATAAACCTTGTGAAGGTTCTTTACTAGAACACTATTAGTCGAGTCAGAGCTTATGGCGAACTGTCATCTGCTTTTGCAACCTCAAGGCTGTTCACTTTCTCCATTTTTGTTTAACTTCATCATAGACCTATTGATGGAAATAACATTCTCGTCTACTGAATTCTCGGGTATCGATCTCCTACCAGGTCCACTTACCGACTTAGAATACGCAGACGACATAGTCCTGTTTGGTGAAGACGCTGATAAAATGCAGTCTTTTGGTAGCACTGAGCGACAATACCAGAATGTTTGGAATGCGCTTCTCTCCCTCTAAACGCAAGCTGCTGCTTCAGGACTGGTCTAGGTCAACACCTGAACTAAGCATAGGGAGTGAATTAGTCGAACGCGTTGACAACTTCACTTATCTTGGAAGTCTGATCAGCCCTAATGGGTTGGTGTCTGACGAAATCTCAGCACGGATTCGAAAAGCTCGATTGGCTTTTGCCAACTTGCGTCACCTATGGCGAAGGCGAGATATCCGTCTATCAATAAAAGGACGAGTATACTGTGCGGCAGTCCGTTCTGTCTTACTTTACGGCAGCGAAACATGGCCACTAAGAGTAGAAGACACTCGTAAGCTATTAGTATTTGACCACAGATACCTTAGAAATATTGCTGGCGTCTGCTGGGATCACCGGGTAAGTAATAGTGAGGTTAGACGCAGGATATTAGAAAATGATGGCAAATCAGTTGATGAGGTTGTGAATCTTCATCGACTGAGATGGTTGGGCCACGTGTTACGTATGCCTGAACACCGATTACCACGACGCGCAATGCTAACCGGTGTTGGGGATTGTTGGAAGAAAGTTAGGGGCGGCCAAACCAAAACGTGGCATCAGTGCTTGAAGTCACTAACTTCTAGTCTGAGCCATGTTGGTAGATGCAGACTACTTGTTTGGGGTCCGCGTGACTATCGTAACCAATGGTTGGAGACTCTTGGTGACATGGCTCAGAATCGATCACAATGGCGTCGGTGTATACACTTTCTGTCTGCCCTTAAACTAAGAGATTAAAATCGCTTCATATCTTTCTTTCTACGAACCAATTCTTGTACTATATCTCTATATGCAATCTTTCTCCTACATATTACTACCTTTGACCTAACCACTGCTATGAATCCGGTGTCCATCTTGTTGTGTTAATGAGGTATGGCAACTTGGACCGATGCATATATGTGCCTGGTCCTACGTTGTAGCTGATCCGTAAAGTGTTCTGCCCATCGATCCAATCTCCTGGATTGAGAATGAATAGTATGTTCATCTTTTTCTGAGATAGTTTCGCGAACATTCGGGTTCCTAGTACCAGTTTCCTTAACATGTCTGCTGTTACCTATTGCCACTGCCTTTTCTATCTCTCTTGCTTTCGCCACCCACCACTGTTCGCGATCATTGCGTAGGCTTCTTGTCAGCTCGTACTTAAGCTGACTCCGCTCTTCGTGATGTTCATAGCCAGATGGAATGAGTTTTCGAACATCTATCAGTGCGGTAGTTGCTGCTGAGATCCAGTGTTTCTCCCTAATCTTGTGGTTTACCTTACTAGCAGACATCACTGCTGTTTCCACAGCTTTTCGGATGTCATTCCACGCTGCCTCGGGGCGGGCATCGCTTACATGGCTGCCCAACTTTTGCTAGTTGTTCCTCAAATATACTCTTACCCTGACTATCATCAAGTAGGACCCTAAGGGGTTTCCTTGCATCATCTTTCCCACGTTCAGTAAGACGCAGGCAAATACGCGCTTGCACTAGAGCAAGATCTGAGTCTAAGCATGTGCTCCAGAATGAGCGACAGTCTACTATCATCGGTGGCTGGTAGCAATGTGATCTATTTGGGTCCAATGTTGGGACGAATTCGGGGGTCGCCATGTCAAAAGATGTTTTTCCTTATGCTTAAAGTTAGTATCTGCAAAAAACAGGCGGTTATCTGAGCATAGCTGCAACAGACGGTCGCCATTATCTGTTTTTTGAGCCGCGACACCATAAGATTCACCCAGGAGTCTTTCCCTTTCGCTTACTTTACCTACTTGAGCATTAAAATCACCAGCCTCTATTACTACATCAGAGCGCCTAGCTTTTCGGAGAAGGTCGGAAAGCTTTTTGTAAAACTCATCTTTTACATCGTCTAAGCTGCAGTCAGTGGAAGAATGAATCTTTAAACAACTGTTCAACATTTTTATAATATTTATCGTATTCAATTGAATTCACATAGTGACACTTTCATGATTTTTATAAAACTCTACTATTATTGTCATTAAAATTTACATTTCAAAGATCTAGAAACATTAAGTTTATACACATCGATTAGTCTCTAAACACTTAGATTTTATACTAGTCAACAACCTAGATTTGGGGTTTAAGAGAAACTCTATACACTAGAACTGTATAAAACACTCGATCCACACCCAGTGTTGACTGAAGTTCAGGATACTGGATAAAAACTGACTCTATCTGTATGAAACTAAATGGCACAAAATAACATTTCACCTTTAATTAAACCCCTACCAATTTAATTTTCTGTGTTCCACTATTTTTGTTACCTTAATTTTTTGGTTTCTCTTGAACTAGTATTTTTTATCTCAACTAAACCGTCGAAACGAAGAGATTTGTACCGATGAGTTGTAGTGCTAGATCCTTTAATGATTAAACCATTAGCATCAACAGAACTTTTAGTTTTCTTATTTAATACTTTCCTGAATCACTTTCACCAGACATACGAATCAGGTAGAGGGAAGAAGCAGTATATGCTACGTTCCGTGAACGTAACCGCAAGTTGATGATAAAAAAACAAAAAGGTATCTATATATAAAAACGAATATTTCAATCATCAATGACAAACATATAGACATCACATGAACTATAGTCAGTGAAGGACGAATCTAGAGTACAATATTTTCTATATTTACAGTGAGTAATTTAAAACGGTAAGAATATTTATAATAGAATATTTTTGCCTATTAAGTGGTTTGTAAGTATTTATGTGCTGTTAGAGAAATCTAGTTATTAAAAAATATATTTAGAATTATCATCGGTGTAGTCTGTACAGTTGACATTATTAAGGGCTTAATAAGATTGCATTATCAAATCTATGATTTCTTTATACAAAAGTGTTGCAACGTGTTAACTCAAATTCGTCTATTTACTTTAAATTTAATCGAAAATTACCTGTCATTAAAAAATTAAAAAAAAGACAATTACCGCGTATGACTACACAAAAATAGCACATGCAAATAAAATGAAATTGGTTAGATGACTTGAGCATATTAACTAACTACTAAGTTGAATAAAAATAACTTTATATAATCACTAACCTGATTCAGAAGAGCATAATTCTGCGTATGTAAATCCCTAGCCTCCTGTAAAGCGTCTAGCCACTTTTGACGTTCATCTGAGTTACGAGCTAAAGAAAAAATTGATATTTATAATAACTGGATAAAGATCAGATACAAAATGATTTACGAAACTGCTAAAATAAACAATAATTAAGTTAAAGCAGCAAGGTTTACTGTATTCACTCGGCTTAACTTCCACTAAAGTAACAATGAGTTATAATCTATAAATAAAAGTTTGCGAATCCCATGGAAACTTTACACACATTTCTCCTTATCAAAACATATACAAGTTTGGAAAGCGAATATCTTATGATAACAGCCATGTAAATCCTTGGTTTCGATTTGTACTTTTATTTCGAGATGAACAACTAGACGTTATTATCCGTATTTCATGTAACTAGTTTAGGGCTGGTGGTATTAAAACTTAGGCTTAGAGTTTTAACTCATCTCTTCTACAACAAAGCAACACTAATTACCACGCAATCTAGGGTCAAGTCATTTAAGTGACAGTGAATAATGAAAGGAAGAGCGTGACACTAAATAACAGGAAATTTTGAACTGTAACTAATATTGTTAATCAACTTTCATACTGATCAGAAAAATGGTGATCTGCGGTTTCGTACGCGATACTAGTCACTAGATTTAGCTCATTAACGAATATCAATGTATCTAAATAAAAAGTTTAAATAAAATAAAGTGTAACTAAGTAATCTGTCGAACAACTAAGTTTTAACTACACAATACGGATTATTGCTACTTTAGTATTTTGACCGGATATGTAAACCATATTACATCGAAATTGAGAAGGAAATGTTATTTGTGAAGTAGCTTATACAAAACATTATTTAACAGTTAAATTATTTTTTCAAACACTCAGAAGTATATAAGCCTACTGATAAGTACATAAGTATAATCATATGACTGCTAAGCGTTAATATTCAAATAAAAAACAGTATCGATGATTAAAGGATAAGCAACCACGTGTTGTGAACGGGCATTTATATTCAAATGCAACCTTATTTTAAAATAAAGTAGTACTCCAAATGACTGTGTAAATGAACTAAAATTGATTTATGAAAATACAATTTTGTACAGGAAAATCCTACTCAATGTCAAACTCATCAGTGACAAAGGTATGACTAATAAGTCAGTGTGAAATGTTCAGAAAAATCCTCACACAATGCATAGAGCACAACTGGAAAGTTCATATAAATACATATTTATCCTGTTATACGAAAGCCTGAACCAACCAAAAAAATCTACTAATCTGTGTTGTTATACTACACCGACTAAAGCCACTCAATAGTCCAAATCTTAACAGATAAACAACAGTGAACAAATACCCACCCTGAACTAATCAGATTTAAGAAACACACAAACTTTATTATCCTAGTGATAAGACATAAGCACGAGTAATCATATAGAAAATACATAGACCTTTTTTATGCAAATAAAATAAAGCAGTTTTAATCTCAATTTAAGGGAAGTCAAGGAGTGTATACACCTTCACCATTGTGATCGATCCTCAGCCATGTCACCCAAAGTCTCCAACCATTGGTTATGATAGTCGCGCGGACCCCAACCAAGTAGTCTGCATCTACCAACATAGATCAAACCAGAAGTTAGTCATTTTATTTACTATGCCACGTTTTGAATTGGCCGCCCCTAACTTTCTTCAGTCCGTCTCCAACATTAGTCAGCATTGCGCATACTGGTAATCGGTGTTCAGGCATACGTAACACGTGGTCCAACCATCTCAGTCGATGAACAATACCGCACTTCTGGGACAGGGACAGAGAAAAGTAGCTGAAAGGAAGCTTGAGGTCAGGAATAAACCATACTTAGCTGATCTAAAAGTAATGGGTATAAAGCTTTGACAATACATGACGTTAATTTGGTATGATATGGGTATATTATACTGATAATAATTGTCTTTATCAAGAATGATATATTCCGAACTTTCAGATTAAATAATGATCATGAAGTAACATAATCCTTATAGTACCCCATCCTGAATGATCACGTTTAAGTTTTAACGGTAAGTAAAGGCAAATGGTAAAACATGAAATTGGTAGTATAAATGTATGAAGGGATACTTTCGTGGTCAAAGTTTGTAGGTTGTAAAATTCACCTCCGAATCAGATAGTGTTATCTACTTCCGATTTCCATACCGTACTGAGAAAAACCACCATAGATATATCCTCTCAAAAAACCCCATCAACCATTGACTAATATTTTGATTTTCCAAGTCCCTGGATGTTTATACCGTTTCTTGTCTATAACCATCTGGTACAAGTCAAACACAATTTCCACAGAACAATCAGTTGGGCAATCTTTCACAGAGCAGTTTGAAATTTCAAAAAAAGTGTAGCGATGACGGAGAATAAATCAGTACGGTTACCTTGGAAGTGAAATGTTTTGTGATCAACAGTTATGGTGAATGTACTATCATCTTCATCATCAATCCCAACTTGAGCATTTTTTAACTTTACACATCCACGTCTATCGCCCCGCATCATCTTCTCTTTAGACTAACAAACAGAAAAAACAAGGATTTTAAAACTACTTTATGCTGCACTAACATAAGCTAGTCAAAGACTGAACATTTTAAAGATATATTCACCCATAACAACAATAAAGACGTTAACCATTTGAACAAGACTCAAGTCAATATCTAACTTATAATGTAAATCATACGTACGTGAAAGTTTGGATTAGGTGAAATTCCAACAAGATTGTCAAGATCCCTATTTTTACGACCTAGTTACTTATTGCTTAATATTCTTCGGACACTACTTCATTTGACAAGTCCCCGAATCAGAACAGGAATGTGATTATATCCCAAATAAACACGGGCGAATAGAGGTAGGAAGCATTATAAAAAAACTTTAGTAATATTTATAATTCTACACAAGAAGCTGTTAGAGTCGTTCCCAAGTATCTGCTACAGTTGATTGGCTATAACTTAGCCAATCAAGATGACCCAATACAATACTGCTCGGAAAATGCTTTATCCAATCTATATCACGCTAACAAAGATCTAGTTAGGAATTACCACAAAAAACAAGAGTTAGAAGTTCACATTACCGCAACAGAATTCTTAAATCAACATTACTGTCTGTTTATGACGGCGATTCTGTGAGGGAACGTATATTAAATTGGCGAGGTTACAAGACGTTGTCCGTAATAAATACCAACTAACGTGATTATTGTGTCCTACCGGTTCAAACAGAAATGGATGTACCACACGTAAGCTTAAATCCATGCATGAGTAAGACTGCTTCAATCTCCTTACTGTGGATGATAAACAATCTACCAACTAAGAATGTACTTATTACTCAGAATTGCTGAGTAACTCGATAAACGATGCAATGTACGTAGAAATATGTAATATAATAATATGGTCAGTGTTTGGTTGGTAATGAATATATTTGACAGTATGAAGATGCTGTGAGCATTTCCTGCCAGTTCCAGGAATGATTTAGCTAGACACACCTTATTTACAAAGTTCGATTTCAAACATCTATTGTGTTAGTTTCTTCGTAGGAACAGAAGTATCTTGCATACGTTCAGTTTAATTCAGACTTAGTTATGTAATTTATAAAACCGTCTCAGTAATTCACGCTTCGTCCATATTTTTTGGGTTCATTAATGAGTTCACTGTGACAAATACCGTGCTCACTGATATCAGACAAACTATGGCATCCATTGAACACTTGACAGAGGTTTATGCTAAACTCAGAAAAGCTCAGATAGACATAGTTATTATTTTTAAGAATTAAATTTCGGCTAAACATTTTTATGCGCTCGTAACTTTAAATCATCTAAATGATATTTTGGTCATTTCTTTTCAGGTTAGATAAGTGTCACAACCCATGTTTAGGACGGTTCCAAACCTTACTGACGGATGGACGTTATTTTGGAAGTGATAAACACAGGCACTCTATGTTGTGATACATGGCAGTCAAGTGATCAACTGAGGCTAATATACCTTCAGTAGAAAAGTTCGCCCTTACTATAGTGTATTTATTTATTTATTTTAACACATGGATATTGGTACAAAGAGGCACCAAATACATATGCGCCGCACAAATCTCATTCGATATGTGTGAGGGCTGTGATACTCCCCGGGTGCCCAAACCGAAGCAAGTGGTTTTCTTAGGGGGCCACACCCGGAGCCCTCGACCCGAAGGTCTGATCAACAAGAAAGTGAAGCAACGTGAGGAGATGCAGTCCCATGGAAGCCGGTGACCAACAATTGGTTCATACGACATTTGTTCCCTCAGGATACTGGAGCCCATGAGCACCATTCGTTTGGAATCAGGGTTTTCCAACTCCCCTAAGTGGACTCTCCACGTCCACCAACCCGGTTAAGGCGCCGGACATTCGCTTTTCGTCCTCTCATTGTCGTAAACAACACCCCCGCCACGAGAAGTCAGTGAGTAGGACTTCCCTGGTAGAGGCTATATACGAGTGGCCATGTGATAGCATTTCGAGTGGGAGAGCGGACTCTCCCCACTCTCGGCCATACCAGGGCGTTTGGGGGCTAAGCATAGTGAGTGAAGTTGTCGAATGTTTAATTACGCATCAAGACTATTGTTTTTGCTTCAGTTGAATTTATTTCAGTCAAAATAATCTCCGAGAAAATAGCTTTTTTCTAGAGAACTTTATCATATGTACCTTTTGAGTACAGATATAAAGGGCTGTGGTATTTCATTTTCCTCGTTGAGTTTATCTTTCAGTATTGTTTGTATCCATTGGTGTTAAGGTCTTTTTGTAACTACTGTGGTCGGATTTTTTTTCATTGTTAAATACACTAATATACAAACCTCTGGTTTTGTTTATGTTCAGTGTGTGATCAAGAGACAAAATAAGGTAAATGATTGGTTTACAGTCACACCCAGAAAAATAAAAGTGAGAAAATAGAGTGAGACCTATGCGTTTGACGCCAAATCGGATTGCAGGGAGATTTCAGAAATTAAAATTCTACAGCGGGTTAGGACGGACCTCGCTGACAGGTCAATCATTGTTCATAAGAGAATCTCTCGAAAAGGAACCAAAGGCTAGTTTTGAGCACGACCTAAGCTACATTAAGTCCTTAATTAGCAAGCTACTCCCAGAAACAGTTTCAGGAGTTAGCATCTGTAAGCTTTTTAGAATAAGACAAAAGGTGGATTCTGAAAGTACTTAGAAAAGCCGCCTCTTAAAAGTTATCTTTGCTTCGGCTGAAGAAACCTGATACTGGGAAACACACGCAAACTGATCGGATCTGGAATATACGTCCGCGAAGATCTCAGCCTGATTGACCGCATTAAAAGACGATCGGCAGAAGTAGAAACAAATAAGCGTCGCCGAAACGATGAAAAACCTCGGACTTGAGAGTTTTCATATTGTAAAATTTCGAAGCTCTTCACAGAATTAACGGTGTGCTACACAAATGCTCGCAGTCTACTAAATAAAATGGGGGAGCTCAAAACAATGGTGTATATAGAAAAACCGAATATCAGTGCTGTCTCAGAAACATGGTTAGCGTCAGAAATGTTTGATAGTGAAATTCAGTTGATTGGTTTTTTATCCTGTAGGGCTAATAGACTAAACCATAGGGAAGGTGAAGTTACCCTGTACACGAATAGTACTTCAGCCATACGAGCAGTCCCGACCGTTGTTGCTACCTTGACGTGGTGGTCAGGCTTGCCTATCGTGATGAAGCAACCGAGCTATACTGACTGGAACAACCGTTCCTCAAGGTCCTACCATGTCAGACAGGTCGGTTGAAGAGCGGTAAGACTAAAAGCAACAAACCCAAGGTCCGAAGGCGAAGTCGTACTGCTGACTGTACAGAGGTGTGACAGCAGTAAGGTGTTTCCTTCAGACAACCAGCATGACAGCGATGCTGCCTTCCCACAAGGAGGGGTGGGGTTAGAAAAGCTCGACCCTAAAAATGCACACCTCACCTTACCTCACGGATTTCCGTCTCCGGCGGTAAGGCCCTTTGAAGAACGGAGCTAACACGTCAAAAACCTCCCACGAAAAGGCCGTGCGCGACCGGCCCCAAACAGTTGTCCCTTGGGCACTGCGGTCACGCTCTCAGGTCACTGAGACCACTTCTAATCCAATTTCTTTTTCAGGTACCTCCAGAAGAACCCTTCCACGGTGTGGGCAACCGGGAAGTGATAACCGCCCTCATACCTCTAACAGCACCCAAGACCACTGTATTCATAATCAACCTCCCTCTTCAATTCCTATTATTCCTCCTACATCGACTTTCAACTCTAAACTTCCTCCTTCGGCTTCCTCCTTAAGTGTCACCATAGCCAACGATTCTAGTGCTCAAAACTCTGTTCCAGGTCTACTGAAACCTCGCTCCAAACTACACATTGGAGCTTTCAACGTACGCACTCTATGTCAAATCGGTCAGCAGGCTTCCTTGGCTAAAACCCTAGAGTCTCTTTCCATTGATGTATGCTGTGTCTCCGAAACACGCATACAGGATTCCAGTGTGGTCATTCACTTGACCTCACCTCGGCAAAACGGAGAGCCAACGAGATACACCCTACGTGTATCTGGTGACCCGATGGCCAGTTCTTGTGGACTGGCAGGTGTAGGCATAGCACTAAGCATGAGGGCGGAACAAGTACTGCTAGAGTGAATCCCCGTCAACAGTCGTCTATGTGCTGTTCGGCTAAACGGCTCCGTAAGAACTCGGAAGGATAGGGACACACGTCGTTGCCTTTTCGTCGTTTCTGCCTACACTCCCACTGACTGCAGCTCAGGTGAAGTGAAAGATGAATTTTACAGAAAGCTGTCTGAACTTCTTCAGAAAGCTAAACGCTCAGACATAGTACTCGTAGCAGGTGACTTTAATGCTCAGATAGGTAGCTCAAACCAAACAGAAAAACATCTAGATGGGTATTTTGGTATTCCGGCACAGCAAACAGATAATGGTGATCGTCTGCTGTAACTATGATCAGACAATCGTTTATTTTTAGCAAACACAAATTTTAAGCATAAGGAGAGACATCGTCTAACATGGCGACCGCCTGCACCAAACCAACGATGGACTCAAATAGACCATATTGCCATCAGTCATCGTTGGAGAGGGTCGGTACAAGATTGTCGCTCATTCTGGAGTACCTGCTTGGACTCCGACCACGCCCTAATACGGGCATGCATCTGCTTGCGCCTCACTGGACGCAAAAAAGCCACAGTAAAAAGACCCATTAGAACCGAACTGAGTAGCGAGGAAACCAAAAGTAGGTCCCAGGAACAACTGAGGTCACGATTAGGTAGTTCTGAAGACGAGGCTGACCCAGATGTTGCTTGGAATGAAATACAAGCAGCTGTGGAAGCAACAGTGACATCTATTAGCGACTTAAACCACAGAGTTTCAAAGAACCAGTGGATTTCTTCAAAGTCTATCACACTGATGGATTCTCGCAAACTCGTCCCATCAGGTTCTGAACATGATGAAGAGCGACAACAAATCAGATCTAGGTTAAGAAAAAGTCTGAGAAACGACCGTGAGCAGTGGTGGGCAACGAAAGTAAAAGAGATGGAAAAGGCGGCGACTATAGGGAACACAAGACAGCTTTACAGACTAATAAAAGAAACTGGAATTAATAAGTCAAGTGTAAGTGAGATTATATCGGAAAAAGACGATACACTCATCTGCTCCCAGTCCAGGCGTTTAGAACGATGGGCGGAACATTTCAGAGAACAGTTCAGCTGGCCTTCAGCTACTCTACAACTACCCTCCATTACCAGACAGTGTGAATGGAACATTGAAGTAGGTCCCCCAACTCTAGCAGAAGTTCAAAAGGCTATAGTTAATCTGAAACGAGGAAGGGCAGATGGTCCAGATGGATTGGCTCCAGAGGTCTTTAAGGATGGTGGTCCAATTTTAGCGATTAGGTTGACTAATATTTTAGCTAAAATCTGGGAGTTAGACGTTATTCCATCTAACTGGTCACAATCACTTATCGTCCCAATATATAAGAAAGGGTCAAAATCATCCTGTGACAACCATAGAGGGATTAGTTTAACAAACATAGTATCTAAAATACTAGCCTCGATAATTATCAGACGCCTAAGACTCGTGAACTGCAAACACGAGAGAATCAAGCTGGCTTTAGACCTGGTCGTGGCTGCATCGATCACATATTCACCATTTGTCAGGTTCTAGAACATAGGGATACTTACCGGCGTCCGACAATCGTGGTCTTTCTCGACTTAAAAGCAGCATTTGACTCGGTAGACCGCGAGATTCTGTGGCAGTGTCTGTCATGGAAAGGCGTACCACAGAAGTACATAAACCTTGTGAAGGCTCTTTACTCGAACACTACTAGTCGAGTCAGAGCTTATGGCGAACTGTCATCTGCTTTTGCAACCTCAAGGCTGTTCACTTTCTCCATTTTTGTTTAACTTCATCATAGACCTATTGATGGAAATAACATTCTCGTCTACTGAATTCTCGGGTATCGATCTCCTACCAGGTCCACTTACCGACTTAGAATACGCAGACGACATAGTCCTGTTTGGTGAAGACGCTGACAAAATGCAGAGTCTTCTGGTAGCACTAAGCAACAATGCCAGAATGGTTGGAATGCGCTTCTCTCCCTCTAAATGCAAGTTGTTGCTTCAGGACTGGTCTGCGTTAACACCTGAACTAAGGATAGGGGGTGAATTAGTCGAACGCGTTGACAACTTCACTTATCTTGGAAGTCTGATCAGCCCTAATGGGTTGGTATCTGACGAAATCTCAGCACGGATTCGAAAAGCTCGATTGGCTTTTGCCAACTTGCGTCACCTATGGCGAAGGCGAGATATCCGTCTATCAATAAAAGGACGAGTATACTGTGCGGCAGTCCGTTCTGTCTTACTTTACGGCAGCGAAACATGGCCACTAAGAGTAGAAGACACTCGTAAGCTATTAGTATTTGACCACAGATACCTTAGAAATATTGCTGGCGTCTGCTGGGATCACCGGGTAAGTAATAGTGAGGTTAGACGCAGGATATTAGAAAATGATGGCAAATCAGTTGATGAGGTTGTGAATCTTCATCGACTGAGATGGTTGGGCCACGTGTTACGTATGCCTGAACACCGATTACCACGACGCGCAATGCTAACCGGTGTTGGGGATTGTTGGAAGAAAGTTAGGGGCGGCCAAACCAAAACGTGGCATCAGTGCTTGAAGTCACTAACTTCTAGTCTGAGCCATGTTGGTAGATGCAGACTACTTGTTTGGGGTCCGCGTGACTATCGTAACCAATGGTTGGAGACTCTTGGTGACATGGCTCAGAATCGATCACAATGGCGTCGGTGTATACACTTTCTGTCTGCCCTTAAACTAAGAGATTAAAATCGCTTCATATCTTTCTTTCTACGAACCAATTCTTGTACTATATCTCTATATGCAATCTTTCTCCTACATATTACTACCTTTGACCTAACCACTGCTATGAATCCGGTGTTCATCTTGTTGTGCTGATGCGGTATGGCAACCGGACCGATGCACATATGTGCCTGGTCCTACGTTGTAGCTGACTGACTGACTGACATACGAGCTGTTGGGACAGCGGTACATGATTCAGAGACATATAAACTGGTACGATGCAGGTTGAAATGTAGACGGCAAAATAATGAATTAGTTGTAGTATATCGCAGTCCAGAACGTGTATTAGATGAGTTCCTCCTAAGCAAATTGGTGTAATAGGGGTAAAAGTCTTACAGTAGGCAACTTTAATGCACTGGACAAACTTAGAAGTAGGGTCATCAACAACGTCATTTGATTGTAAATCGCTAGAAACCATAATTGCACTAGCTTTATTACAGCACATTAGAGATCCCACCAGACATGACTTACGAAGCTCCCCGTCTCTCTTGAATTTAGTATTCACTCACGGTGATGACGTCAGTCGAATAATTTTCCCTCCACATCTAGGGAATAGTGACCATACAATCATCTTACTTAAGTTTATGGATCAGTTGTTCTGTCAAACAGTTGCGCCGACCCGTCCTTACATATGAAAGGCAGACATGGAGGCGATAAACTCTGTAGCATCGGTTGAAAACTGGAGAATGGACTCCTATGCAGTTAGTCAGCTACAACGTAGGACCAGGCACATATATGCATCGGTCCAGGTTGCCATACCTCATTAACACAACAAGATGGACACCGGATTCATAAAAGTAATTAATTCAGAGGTGGTAATATATAAAAGAAAGATTGCATATAAGGATATAGTACAGGAAGAAAGAATTAGTTCGTAGAAAGAAAGATATGAAGCGAATTTTGATCTCTTAGTTTAAGGGAAGACAGAGAGTGTATACACCGACGCCATTGTGATCGATTCTGAGCCATGTCACCAAGAGTCTCCAACCATTGGTTACGATAGTCACGCGGACCCCAAACAAGTAGTCTGCATCTACCAACATGGCTCAGACTAGAAGTTAGTGACTTCAAGCACTGATGCCACGTTTTGGTTTGGCCGCCCCTAACTTTCTTCCAACAATCCCCAACACCGGTTAGCATTGCGCGTCGTGGTAATCGGTGTTCAGGCATACGTAACACGTGGCCCAACCATCTCAGTCGATGAAGATTCACAACCTCATCAACTGATTTGCCATCATTTTCTAATATCCTGCGTCTAACCTCACTATTACTTACCCGGTGATCCCAGCAGACGCCAGCAATATTTCTAAGGTATCTGTGGTCAAATACTAATAGCTTACGAGTGTCTTCTACTCTTAGTGGCCATGTTTCGCTGCCGTAAATTAAAACAGAAGTGAAGTTGCCAACGCGTTCGACTACTTCACTCCCTATCCTTAGTTCAGGTGTTGACGCAGACCAGTCCTGAAGCAACAACTTGCATTTAGAGGGATAGAAGCGCATCAGTAGAAGAGGTATGTACTCATTTCAGGCAGTTATACAATCGGGTAACTAAACCATATATACCCTGGACAGTTCAAAAGCGCGGTCATCTGTGGATAGGCCAGGATATTCGATATTTACTAAGACAAGTAAAAATTTTGTAACTCTATCATTAGAATTCACACAGCAAGTACTATGGAACGCTACAGGTCGGTAAGAAATAAGTGTAGAAATAAAATCCGGGAAGCTCAGTGAAAATAAGGAATACAGTAGGCACAAACTGCAATCAAGCAGCCTAGGAGACTAATCCTATACATTAATTACAGAACAAGGATGCAGCAATGGATTCCCAACCTAATTACGGGAGAGAGTGAACCTGAAATGATAGGTGGTCAAAAAAAGCAGAGGCTATGGCAAAATATTTCGAGACAGTTTTCATTCAGGAGCTTCTTCTAGACCAAGAACTTGACCAAGTAGCGTCAAAAAACCGTCTGCTCACCGTAAATTTCGATCAAGACGATGTAGTTAAGGCTCTTAGTACCTCAGACACGGAAACGTCAACAGGACCGGGTGAACTATATCCCAAAATCCCGAGACAGATTGAACAATATATTCCAGCCTCATTAACGGTGATATTTAGCATATCACTTGGCCAATGTGAGAAACCTACAGACTGGAAGGATGCAGTCAAGTAGAAAAGGCTAGAACGAATAAAATAGCATTGGCATACAGGTTTCCACACCGAGTCATCAATTCTTGGAACCTGTTATCCGAAGCAGTGGTGTCCGCACCTCTAATTGACTCATTCAAGAGAAGACTAGACACTCACAGGAGCATACCAGAAAAAGAATGGCATAGGCTGTATGCATTCTGTCCTTACTGCACAAATATGAATCTGAAAAACCCACAGCTCATGGTGAATATGGACATATCTTAACACCCAACATAGAAAACTTTCTTATCAAAATTAGTGCATATATTTGACCGAAGCAGATGCATAACAAGTAATATGTTGGAAAGGTTAGATAGCTGAATTAAAACTAACAATAATATACACGCTGTACCATTTCTCTGGATGTGATATTGTTCACCCTTCGAAGAAACTTTATGAAACCGCAAAATTAAAAAACTAACCGTGTAATAAGATAAAACCCCTAGGCTTATGTCAAGCACAAACCAACGGTATTGCCAACCATTGACGAGATTAGTCCATTTGCTTAAAGGGCCTTCCATCGTAAATGAGTTATCCATATTTTCCGCATTCAAAAACCTCGGCACCCAGTACGCATTCGTCCAGATAAACACCACATCCAAACCACAGCATCAAGAGTATTACACTAAATTTCCACACAGTAAAATTCGGACCAATAGATTTTATTTGAAAAAGGTTTTGTAAAACAATGTACACTGTTTGAAATACTTATGTGTTAAGTGTAAATCTATGGCAGTGAATAAATTCATAGTCTATCCATATTCCCTTGGAAATTCCGTCTACCATTCATTGCTAGTCTGTCAATATTTGTGCACCGTAGAAGCATGTGGAGTACAGTGAGGAAACCAGATTGTGCAATAAATCGATATGCCATATTTTACAACAACCCTCTTCAGTAACACCATTGTAAGTCGGCCGACCTGTGTAAATCTTCGCAGTGAAAATCACATAGGAGTTCATTTTGCTAGAATCTCTTGCCCCGTTGGGTTATAACACTAATGCAATTTAGATATTCTAGCCATTGAGCACTCAGTGAAAAGTTCCGAATCACATCCTGATTTTCTATGATCGCGATATCCCCAGTGATGATCGGTCACAAGCGGACTACACCGACACCCAACTTATCAGCCACGACACGAAATTGCGGTATGAGATTGAACCGCGTTCTGTGACTAACGGAAACACCCGTCCGTTTTAGTCACTTTGAATATGAGAGATTAGTCAGGTCTGTCATGAACAATTTACTGTTTGGACGCACTAGATAATTTTATTATATGATATGAACCAAACAGCTTGGATGCACCATCCTACCTCAGATTTCACGCATTCCTACCAACTATATGTTTTTACATCTTTGTATTGACAGCCGACTATTTGTTTAGTTTCAGCTACGGCCGTCTAAGGTTTAGCTAGCAACCCAATTATGTAAATGGGTTTATTACCCGCCAAAGCTTCAAAATATCTCTATTACTACTTCCGTTTCCTATTTAATGAAGTGTGTTCAGTTCTAGTATCATTGTCAATGAGTAATAATTTGCTTCACTGTTCAGCTGCTCTACCTGGTTTAATTTACTTTAATGATAACAATTTCACTAACAAGGACATAGTACACTCTGTGAACATTTAGACATCCAAGATAGGGACGTACAACAAGAATCTTCGTTCTCGGTGCCTCGACAAATATTAAGTTCGATTTTAAAAAACTAATATCTGAGGAGCAATTACGGTTTCCAGTAATTTTGTCTCTATTCAGGATTGTTTGCGATCTCCAACGTTGCGACGAATTGTATATTAAAACGGTGAAGTTACCACAACTCGTAATAAATACCAACTAACGTGATTATTGTGTCCTACCGGTTCAAACAGAAATGGATGTACCACACGTAAGCTTAAATCCATGCATGAGTAAGACTGCTTCAATCTCCTTACTGTGGATGATAAACAATCTACCAACTAAGAATGTACTTATTACTCAGAATTGCTGAGTAACTCGATAAACGATGCAATGTACGTAGAAATATGTAATATAATAATATGGTCAGTGTTTGGTTGGTAATGAATATATTTGACAGTATGAAGATGCTGTGAGCATTTCCTGCCAGTTCCAGGAATGATTTAGCTAGACACACCTTATTTACAAAGTTCGATTTCAAACATCTATTGTGTTAGTTTCTTCGTAGGAACAGAAGTATCTTGCGTACGTTCAGTTTAATTCAGACTTAGTTATGTAATTTATAAAACCGTCTCAGTAATTCACGCTTCGTCCATATTTTTGGGTTCATTTATGAGTCTGTGAGACTATTGCTTAGATTGGTATTGGTGCACTGATCTTTGCTCCCGGAGTAATACACCTAGTTCAAAATTTTGTTTTCTCACTATTTGCCTACTTTATCTATCAGATTTTACGTGAAAATCACATGATATTTTATTCTGACTTGTTCTGTGGTGAATTCAGTACTTTGTTATTTATTACTTCTGAAATACATATTAGAACCGGAAAAAGACTATTGTGTGTTGGTGTGAAAAACAAAAAAATATTACATGGGGTAATCATATATGTATGGCCGAAATATACCATACAGATTAAGTTTTCCGCGTTCAACATTTCTGACCTTTTCTATGCTATTATATTACATACTTACTTACTCCTGTTACTCTCAATGGAGCATAGGCCGCCGGCAAACACAATCCAACCCACTCTGTCCTGGGCCTTCTTTTCTGGTTCCATTCAATTCTTGTTCATTTTTCTCATGTCTATCTCCATTTCCCGGCGTAATGTGTTCTTTGGTCTTCCTCTCTTCATTTGGCCTTGGAGATTACAAGTGAGGGCGCGTCTTGTGACGCAGTTGGGTGCTTTCCTCAATGTGTGTCCTATCCACTTCCAGCGCCTCTTCCTAATTTCTTCCTCCGCTGGGATCTGGTTTGTTCTGTACCACAGTTAGTTGTTGCTAATAGTGTCCGGCCAACGGATCCGAAGTATTTTGTGTAGACAACTGTTAATAAACACCTGTATTTTCTGGATGATGGCTTTCGTAGTTCTCCAGGTTTCCGCCCCATACAGTAGAACTGTCTTGACATTTGTATTGAAAATCCTTACCTTGGTGTTGGTTAACAGTTGCTTTGAGCTCCAGATGTTCCTCAGTTGTAAATATGCTGCTCTTGCTTCACCGATCCGCGCTTTCACATCCGCATCAGATCCACCATGTTCCTCAATGATGCTGCCCAGATAAGTAAAGGTTTTTACAACTTCCAAAGCTTCTCCGTCAATTGTGATTGGGTTGGTGCATGCTGTGTTGTACCAGAGGATCTTGCTTTTCCCTTTGTGTATATTGAGACCTACTGCTGCTACATTGGTCGACTTCTCCTGCATTTGTTGTTGTAATTGCGATAGGAGAGCTAGATCATCTGCGAAGTCTAGATCGTCCAGCTGCATCCTAGATGTCCACTGCATCCCAAGCTCCCCCCTAGATACTGACGTCTTCATGATCCAGTCGATCACCAGGAGAAAGAGAAAGGGTGAGAGTAAGCAACCTTGCCTGACACCGGTCTTTACCTCGAACGACTTTGTCAATTGTCCTCCATGCACGATTTTACAATTTAATCCATCATATAAATTCTGTATGATATTGACTATCTTCTGAGGCACGCCGTAGTGTCGAAGAAGCTTTCATAGTGTTGTTCTGTCCACACTATCAAATGCTTTTTCGTAGTCAATGAAGTTGATGTACAGTGATGAATTCCATTCAGTTGATTGTTCCACATGGATCCGTGGAGTTGGGAGTTGGTCTGTACACGATCCATCCTTACGGAATCCTGCCTGTTGGTCACGAAGTTGGGTGTCTACGCAGTCCTTCATTCTGTTTAACAATACCCTGTTGAGGACTTTTCCCGGTATTGAGAGAAGAGTGATGCCTCTGTAGTTATCCCAGTTGCTGAGATCGCCTTTCTTTGGTATTTTGATCAGAAGTCCTTCTTTCCAGTTTGTTGGTACTTCTTCCTCATCCTATATCTTATTGAAGAGAATGTGGAGTATCCTTGCAGTTACCGCTACGTCTACTTTCAGTGCCTCCGATGGAATGTTGTCTAGTCCTGCTGCTTTGTCACTCTTGGTTTGTCTGATGGCCATGCTGATTTCTTCAATTGTTGGTGGGCCAACATTGATTGGGAGGTCCGTGGGTGCTGCTTCGATATTGGGTGGGTTCAGTGGGGCTGGTCGATTCAAGAGTTCTTTGAAGTGTTCTACCCACCTGTTTCGTTGTTCCTCAATGTCGGTGATTACCTCGCCTTCCTTGCTTTTCACAGGTCGTTCTGGTTTGCGGTGATTTCCAGACAGTTTCTTTGTTGTGTCACACAGTTGTCTCATGTTTCCTTCTGTTGCAGCCTTTTCCGCAGTCATTGCTAAATCTTCCACATATTTAGGTTTGTCATTTCTGATGCTCCTCTTCACTTGCTTGTTTACTTCTGTGTATTCAGCTTGTGCCTTGGCTTTCTCTGCTCTTGTTCGGCTGGTATTGATTGCTGCCTACTTGTTCCTCCTTTCTTGAATCTTATCCAGTGTATCAACAGTGATCCATTCCTTGTGATGTTGCTTCTTGTGGCTAAGGACCTCATGGCATGTTGAAGTGATTGCTTCCTTGATCCGCGTCCAGTTGCTCTACAGTGTAGTCCTTTTATAAATTGTGACCTGTGTTTCCTGTTAATATTCAATGTAACGATACCGCCAACTAGAGAGCAGTGAATTATAGATGAGATCAATGAAGCCAAAACCCGCGAGAGCAGTCTGGAGTCCTGATTGCTCCTGCTTTTCGCCTAGCTCAGCTAGTTATATACAGAACAACAATCTCCGCCTGTACAATATGCAACATTCATCTTAAGCATACTGGGTTTATATACCAACCAGACAGACCACACAGTACCATAAAATATGAAAAGAAATTTGTGGAATAATTAGCCAAATGTGGCTGTGAATGTGGGTGGTGGTAATTAATAGACAGAGCATAATTCAAGAATGGTAGATCGTATAATAATAGTTCATATGTCAAAATAAAGCTCATCATAAAAGGGACATGAATATGAACAGTTTAGATATTTAAAAACTATACGATAAAAATATACACATAGTATTGTTCCATAAATGGATCACAAGAATCATCATTCATTATGCTCATCAGGATCTAACAAGTTCCCTCTGCGTGTAGTGAATCGTGAAAAGCCCCGAACCAATTGCTGAATGCTATCTTGAATTGGTCATATCCCGAAGAAATGCCGTATTAAAATTTTTAAAGTCGTCCACCCCGCTGTCCTGTGCTCCTTGAGTTCCTGTTTCATGTTTATGGCTAGGAAGTGATGATCTGTGGCTAATGTCATTCCGTGTACCTAAATAAGTGGTTGCTCTGTTTTATCGGCCTCGCGACTTCTGCAGGAACTCGACTTTTGCTATGAGGTGTCATAACTCTTCTAAATGAAGACCTAACTAGCCGGATAGAGTTTAAATGGTCTGAATTATTTTTTCTAGATAGCGTCCTTTCGGCAAGTTAGTTTTCTAAGGGATAGGGCCACTAAATCCATGCCCAAACTTCTCTTTTATCAAGTCTCGGGACCGTCAGTAGCCCCAGAGGGGCTCCAGGCTTCAATATCCCTTCATCTTCATACTTATTGGTATCGTCGTAAT